AAACACTTGAGTTTTCTGGCATTGATGTCAGGGCCAGTGTGTAGATTTGCAGGGTGATAATCTCTGAGCTTCAGTGGAAAGGGTGCTAATAATTGTAATATTTAAAGAAATAAAAAAATGTACATTTCTGTTTGCTGATCAAATTTGCCTGTAGTAGCATGTGTATATATATCCTGTGTTTGGGATTTAGCTTCTTTTGCATTACTTTGAAGTAAAGTGAAGTTTCAGGTAAATGTAAGTCAACAGACATTTTTCAAGTGGCTGAAGCTGTGAATCTTGCTGCAGTGATTCTTTGTGGGATGCTGATAGTTTTTGATTGTACCTTGTACAATCAAGGCGTGTTTGGCAAGCAACGTACAAGTTGGTTTTGTTGTTACAAGTCACCAGGCCCTAAATAAAAAGAATGCCTTATAAAAATGTTTAAAAGAAGGAAGGAAAGAAAGAAAAAAAAGAAAAAAAGCTTCTATATTCTTAGGATTCAAATGCAGTGGGTATATATACAGTAGATGACATACTCAAGTACAACAGACTTTTTTTTCATTGAGCTGCAATTCGTTTCTTTGTGCGTGGTGAAGGATACAGTGCCTTACCTGCCTAACCTCGAGTACTGCAGGCACTTTGACCCAAATTTGCAAACCCAGTGTCAGCAGTATGCAAGCCCATAGTGGTGGTGGTGTCTCAGGGTGTAGCTCAAAGCCTGGGTCACCACCATCCCCCGGCTGCTTTTGATCTTCCTATTAGGTAAATTAACTTTGTGAGATTATTTTTCAGATAAAACATTAATACAAATTGTCACATATATTTTCCACACTATATATCATTATATAAATGTCTTTTTAAATTAATGCTTTCTAAACATCAGGCCTTAAACTGTACAAGAGGTATATAAATGGCTGTTGCTGAGCAACAATACAGAAAATATGCTCCGTGTCCCAAGAATGCTACTGCCTTAAAGAAAATCGGTAATTTTTGTTTTGCTTCTTTTGCAAAGTTAATGATGCCATTTCCTCAGGCCGTAAGAAGAATTTAGATGAGTTGGTCAGAGGTTTTGCAGCAGGCTGCTTGTTATGGAAATGCTCTACTTTCCAATCCTCCCTGGTTACTTGGCATTTTTGTGAAAGGAGAGTAAAGTCTTGTCTGTCTTTTCAAACCGCAAATGGCAGCAGCACTTTTGTTAATAGAAGTGTAACGCTTCCTTGGGACTGCCTGCGTATCTCAGGACAGATGGCAGAGATTTTAGTGGTTTCAGCAATGGAAGAAATGGGACCTCCTCCTGCCTTGTGTGCGAGTGATCAGGATCTCTTTGTAGGGGATCCAGGTTGGTCAAGTTAAGACGTGTTCGACCTGTTACTCACCTGGCTGTGCATCTGCTTATGTTGCTAATACAAAAGCTAAACTTTTCTGTTTCAAGTGTTTCTAGCCTCAGTATTAGCATCCATGGTGATGGCACTGTGAACCAAGTATAGGGGAAAATATAAAGCTGAAAGGAAATTATTCTAATAGCATCAAATTATGTTTTCAGAGCAGCCTCATCCAAGGAAATCACACAGCTCAGAAATGTGCATTTTGCATAGACAACTTCAACACTTCTGCAGTGTGAACTTCTATGACTTTGTGTTCTGTTTTGTCCTTACGTCTTGTTAGCATAGGCACTTTTCTTTTTTCCAGCCTAATAATGCAGCCTGCTCTCTCCAGGTGGCTGTGTTCAGGTAGCAACAGGTTCACATTGAATGATTTTGGTCAAGTTTGTCTCTGACTTTCACCAGCTGTTGCTGTTCCATCAGGTCCTTCAGCTAGTGCTGCCAGAATTGATGGTATCTCTTTGATCCAGACATTAACGAGCTGCTTTCTTCCTACCCAAAACCAAGGTCGTTCTTGAAAGAGAGAGGGGCAATGTCTCTCATGAGTTTTTCATGGTTAACACCTGAAAGACTATTTTTTGAGGCTGCCTGTAAATAAATAAATAGGTGATTTCTGCTGAATTGAAAATCATGGAAGTTCACTTGTATGGGTAGATCTTGCTGAGAAACTAGGGACAGCTTTTTAAGAGTTGAAATTTTTTTTTTTTCCTTTTAGGATGTAGATCATTTCGTGAACTCTTTCAGCTCTTACCAGAAGAGCTGTTAAGCTGGCAAGATAGCTGTATCTCCTGCAGTATTTGTGATTGTGCGATGGAAGTAGAAAACTACTGAAGCGACTGCTGAGCCGCTTGCATTGCTAATTCCATTCTGTCAGCAATGTCAATTAGTACTTCAAGAGGTTCATATCTCTGAAGAGAGGCTTTGTGAGTCATATGGTCTCATTTGATAGATAATTGTTATAGTCTGCTGATTTCTTCATGTGATCTAAGATGAAATCATGAGGTATGAGAGAATACTGCGATTTCCTGTTATATTTTCTTATTATGTAAGGTTGTGGTAATACAGCCAGCTTTCAGACCCACCAGTAAAAAATGAAAACTTCTCTCTGTATTTTTTTTCTGCTGTGAGTTCTTTTAGAGTCACTATATAGATATCACTAAGCCATTGCCTTTCAGCAGCCCAACTTGTTCTTCCTTCAACAAAGTATGGCAATTCCACACTTCCATGAGATTTTGGAGGTGGTGGGGTTTATTACGTTAGTCTGCTGAGGTTGGAAGAGAGTCTAGGCAAGAAACTGAGTTTTGCAGTAGCCCTGTCAATATGCATTTAATTATTTGTTTTCTTTCTGAATTCAAGGGTATGTCATCTGTGTCCCTTATATTTTCATTCTGATTTTTTTTAACCTGGTTTAGATTGAGCAATGGTCCTGTGAATGCTTGCCTGGAGATAGCTGGCTGCTGTCTCCAGCCCAGAGTGATGGTGTGGCTTTGCGGTACGGCAGATGGATGGGCTGCATGTCCTCCTCATGCCTCTTCCAGTCCTACATCTCCAGTGAGGATAGGAAGAAGTCATCAGTGGTGAGCCAGAAGCATACCTGCAGGGAAAGTACAACATTATCACCTGGGTAGCAAAGCTAAGTTTATTAGAGCCAAATCAATACTGAAACGTAAAGTGCAGGTGACACTATTGGTAAGCTTGGAGAGACAGGAAAGGTAACAATATTTACCTAAAATTTCATTCACTGCCTTTCCTTGAGTAAATCGTACTGTTATCTCCCCTATCAGCAGTTTTATCCCGGTGGTTCAAGATTTGCATTGAACTATTACAAAGAGTAATATATTCATTGATCATAATCAGGCGCAATTTCGCTAAAGTTCATTTGATTCTTGCCATAATTTTTATTGTCATTTCAGTGCTAGAATTTTGGAATTTATTCTCATTTTTAGGCTAGAATTTCCTTCCCTTTTTAGAAGGCTGATTTGTAAATCAGTGTCTCTAGAAGCTTATTGTATTTTAGTCTAATTTTAATATAGTCATAAGCTTGATTTTATATACTAGCAAATAAAGAGGGATGAATAGTAGAGAGCAAGGTATTTCACAAGAGAGAGGCCCTTGGTCCTGTGGTGCTTTGTTTTCTGCTATAGGGTTGGATCCCACTAAAGGCTAGGCAGCAATGGCATCAACTTATTATATAAAAGATAGAATGAAAATCTGATTTTGCAAATCATTCTGCTAAATTAATGAGGTGAGAATGTTGTGAAATGATTCAGTGCTTATAATTAGGAACATCTCTCTCTTTCCTCCCACCTGTTCTTTTTACCAGGCGTTTTCTTTGGCAGGGATTTAAGGCCAGGCAATGAAGCTAGAGATGAAAAGCTACAGCTTAGTGCTCATAGGATAACTTTAATATCTATAGGGTTATGTCATGTGGAAGGTTCAGCTGTCTGTAGTAACCCAGTTTCTATGGTGATCTGTTTTCTGCTCTTTCCCTTCTCTAGACAGTAGAAAATGTACAGTTTCAGCTGAATAAATTAAAGGTGCCTATTTCATGCTGGCATAGATCACGTAGTTAGAAACTGCTACACAGCATCTGCTGCCTGAAGCTAACAGTATTTGTCTCTTACAAGGCTGCTGCCTTTTTTACATCAGGAAAATTCTCTTTGTGTAGCCTCGTGGAAACCAGCCTGCTAACCTGTTTTGCTAGACAGTATTTAAATGCTTTCCTCTTTTGTAGTACATTTACTTTCCTTTCAGTTAATTCCTGTGATGAGAGGGAAGCAATATCCCATCAGAAATACTGAGGATGGGGAACTGCAGCTACAGCTGGGGTGGGGGAAACTTGGGCAAAGTGTGGTACGCGTTCAGTCTTCAGCTGTGTCTGACGCTGTAGCATCTTTGGTTAGATTAAAAAAAACTTTCCTGCTTTCTGGCAGGATTTTGATTTTTTTTTTCTTTTTTTTAAGTAAAAGAAGAGTTCAGTGAACAGGTGCATTGGGGTAAGTTTGGATATATGTGTGTCCGTGAAGTTTTACAGGGAGTCCTTTGTTTAGAAACCAAGTGGGAAGGGAAGGAGACATTGCTCCTGAGCGCACTACTTGACTCTAATACTGTACCTCTATTGTCACATCTTGGTTAATTGTTTTGGAATTTTTCTGTAGGTTTGTACTTGCATTGGCACGTACACTTGTTAGCACACACCTTCATTTTAACTCAATCGAGGTTCCTTAGCCTGCGAGTTTTGGATACAGCAGGGCTGAAACCAACCAAATAATCCAAACGCCCAAACCATGGCTTCTGCGGCTGATTTCCCGGCTGCTCCACTGCCTGCTGTTGGCCTCCGTTGCTGTTATATGCAGTGCTCTGTGAATGGGAAGAGCACATACTGAAGAATCGTTTTGGGGATCTTTCGTTTTTTCAAATAGTCTATCAATATTCTTATCTTTTGGGGGAGTGGGGAAGAGGGTATGTAAATCATAAAGTAATACTGCACTTTTGTACTGAAAACAATAGCAAATATGTATGAAACTAATGAAGCTGAAAGAAGAAAAAAAACCGCAGCCACATATTTACTACAAAGAACAAAGTTTCTTGTCGTTGTATAAAGTAGATTCTTAGGGCTGGCATAAACATCCAGTGAAGATGACGACAGACCCGGTGTGGGAGCATAACATGTTCTGTAGCGGGAATAATTAAAGTGAATTCTTAATTCTTTATTTCATTATTTTTCTCCTTTCACTCAGCAGATAGAATTGGTTTCCATGTATGGCATAAGCTTTTCAGGAGTTTGGGAGCTTTCTAGATGAAGGCAGCGGCAGTGCTTTAAAGGCTGCAGTGTGTTAAGGGTAAAAGCCATTGATTTAGGCTGTTGTAAATTACTCACGCGCACTGTTCTTGAGAAGCATCCTGGGTATGGGAAGCAAATTGATTTGTGAAGTTCGAAATAATTCCAGGCACTGAGCCTCCCTGGCAGCTTCCAGCTAGGCAGGGTGCCTTATCTCTCTCCTGGGCCAGGGGCAGGGGCTCCTTGGGTCTTGCTCCCCAACCTGCTGCCTTTGCTGAACACATTTTATCGTTTCCTGTCTTGCAAGAAGAACCCAATATGAAGTTTGGTCTTTCAAAAAATCCCTGGTAGAAGTAAGAAGTTCATCATTTTAAGTAGTGGGAAAACTGGGTTAAGAGGGAAAAAAAAAAAAAAAGCTTCAGCATTCTTTGAGGCAGAAGATGCTATACAAAAACAAGTTGTGTAAGGTTAGGTGATGAAGCTGTATGACCAAACGCAGTTTTCTCTGCCATCAAATGCTGTGCTTTGACAAATACGTTACAGTTATTTTGAAATAATTTAGTGGATTGAGAGTGTTTTGCAACATGGCTGCACCTCTGAAGCCAAGAAGCTGGTTTGTTTGCAAAGGTGATGGGTGTGGGATGATGTCAGTGCTCTCTAGGCATTGCAAGAGCATCAGTTCAGAAGCTTTAATATATTAAAAATGTCATAGCCTTTTCCTTGTGTTACTCAAGAGCTCTTTTCATATGTACATATTTGCATGTACATGCAACTGTGTAAGTAACTAGATGGTTTCCCTACACCTTTAATTGATTCTTGAATATGAGATAACCATTATATCTTCACTCATTTAAAAATATGACTATTCTTTCTGTTTTTGAAAAAAAGTCATATGTTTGTTCTGGGTTACTTTATGAATAAAGTTTGGGTGAAAATGGTCATTAGTGGGAATGCTGGTTTGTGGGTTTTTTTTCTATTATTTGGAGGCCTTTTCAACCAAATCTTTTCAGTTTTTTTTTCTTTTGGCATTCTGGAGATAATCTGTTTTAAACTTGCCCTATTTGCAATTACAAAGGAAAAAGCTTTTAATACTTGAGATCAGGTAGCTTTGCCTGAATTAACACAGATGTGCCAAAGTGTTCTCTTAGGGGGAGAAAAAAAGGCAAAAAAAAGCTATATAGTGTTATGCTGCAAATGCATTTAGAACCTACTCAGAAGAGTTACTCCAAGTAATTTTTTTGATAGCCAAGTTTTTGATCTCTCTGAAAACACAGATTTTTTTTTTCTTTGTAGATTTTCAGGATTGAAGGTGTATCTTGAAACATTATTTTGCACTGGAAATGCCATTTTCTTTCTGTGTAGGCAATAAAATTAAGCTCATGTAGCCTTTTATCAATAGAGTAACTTACCTCAGACATACTAATTAACTTGTCTCTTGCTTAAGGGTTTGGCTGTTAAACATGTATTTAAAAAAAGAAAAAAACGGTTTTGGTGTTGTGTATATTGATGATCTAATTATATTGCAACAAGAAGTCACTGATCTTTTGCTGTTGTTACTGTCCTGCAGTATGCCAGGGTTTGGATCCCTGATCCAGAGGAGGTCTGGAAGTCAGCAGAACTTCTCAAAGATTATAAACCTGGAGATAAAGTCCTCCAGCTTCGACTTGAGGAGGGCAAGGTAGGTCTGCATATTGTTCGTAAGCTGATTGTTCTTGTTCTTGACCGGAGACTGATGTATCTAACGCAGGAAGCTGTGCCATCAAAATATATCCGTATTTATGTATGTGCAATTATTCTTGTCCACTGACTTTCAGTAGTATTTTTTTGGTGTGACAAATTACACTGTTGAGTTACAAAAATCCATTTTGCCTGATTTTTAAAACAAATAAAATAAAAAATTTGTTGCTTTTATACTTATGCTGTTAAACCTATAACCCCAGTTTGATACTCCAGTGAGAACAGTGTTGCTAGGAGAACAGTGTTGTAGAGAAAGAACTGTGACTTTTAAGTTGAGCATAACCATCAGAAGTTTAATAAAGGTTAAAAGGGGCAAGAATTAAGGGCATTATGAAAATCATGCTGTATATGGTGTAGAAAAATGATGACGTGTCTATGAAGAGCTCACATCCTTCTAGTGAAGGCCTGTTCATTTTTTTTCATGCCAGTTAAATGATTATTTGATTTTAACATATAATGATGGTGATTCCTCAGATGTTCTAATGGAAAATAAAGATCTACTACAGTTGGTCAAATATTTATTTTTAATTTCTTTTTTTTCATACAAGTGGGCAGCTTAGATCCTACTTTCTCGTAGAGGCCTACATAGCAATGAAGTAAAAAGAACAGATTATCTATATAGAATAGCTTCTAAATAAAATATCTTACTTGAATGAATTTCAGTCTTTGACTGACTCACATTTCTTATATGGCAAGATGAGTACAACCTTTTTAATCTGACAAGATTAATTTTCCCGCCATGTATTCCAGGCTGTGGGGCGATGCTGCACACTTGCACGCTCCTTAGAGTAGAATGGGGGTGTTAGCAGGTAAATGAAGTGATTTAGGTCTAGAGAAAGATGCAGTTAAAACATCTATATTAGAGATTAATTTATATCTGCAAAAATTGTAAGTGGCATTTTTTCAGTTTGTGTGTTCTTCATGGCATTCTGCCAACATTCTCGTCTCGTATTACTGTGTATGAAGGTGACTATAGACTGATGGGAATCTGCTTCCTCTGTCTGTTCTGCTCAAGAGGAAAATAATGTGGAAAAAATGGTTAGATTTATGATATATTTTGTTCTATTTAATAAAAAGATTTGGCAGCAAAATCAAGGAGTTAGCTTAGTAATAGTCTAAAAGGATGATATCTCTTCATGGTTGCCTGTTACGCATATAGAAAACACTTCTGGGAAATTTTAAATGACTTTTTTGGAGAAAGAACTGCTAACTCAAATCACCAGTTAATTTAAATCTTGCATTGTGTTTTTGTAACTTGGGCATGTTTTGCTGGGAAGAATGGTTGGAGGGACTGAATGAGGAAACCTAAACACCAGCTCTTTCAACACGTTTCCATTTGATTTTCAGGACCTAGAATATTGCCTAGATCCGAAGACGAAGGAACTCCCGCCCTTGCGAAACCCTGACATACTTGTTGGTGAAAATGACCTCACAGCACTCAGTTATCTCCATGAACCTGCTGTTTTACACAACCTCAAAGTTCGATTTATAGACTCTAAACTAATCTATACCTATTGTGGCAAGTACTGTCTTTTCATACCATAATCTTTATAGGGAATGCCCTAGACAGGAAAAGGAAAGTTAATTATTGATATGTCTGCCTTTAAGTTAAAGTCGTTTAATGATAGGGCGTGTTGGGCTATTCTTATGAAAGTCCCTATGTTTGTGGTTGTTAAGTGCATCAAGTAGACTTGAAAGTGTTAAGGTTCAGAGAAAATTGAGTTTGCTGTGTGTTCCTCTAGCTTCCCAATGGACTCTGTTTATAAAATGTGTATTCAGCAATTTTAGCTTGCCAGTGGGATTCCTGGCTGGTAGGTGTTTTCCTTAGGCTTCCTTAGCTAGGCATGGACTGGAGGAGGGCTTCACACGGTGCAGACGCAGGAGGCTCACCTTGCTGTTTGGTGGATTTATTGCCCAGCTGTGATTGCCTACCGCTGCATTGAGCTCCTCCATCTCTGTATGGAAGTTACCAGTTTCTTTTCTTTTTCATGTTTTCCAATCAGTGCAACTATAGGAGTGAATTTATAACAGTGCATGAGCCAATGCTTGTCCGATCACAATTAGGCACAATCTTGGTTTTAAAAATACCGTTTAACTCCCAGTAGAGGTTACCCGAAGTTGTAATTGCCTGTGATATTTTCAGATGGCCAGAATGGGGGGAAGTTACTTTAATGACCACTTCATAAGTGCAGAATTGCACCTGAGTGGTCTATTTTAAAGAAACATTGTGAGATAGTTTAGGCTTAAAATTTAGATTTCTTGCTTCTGGGCTTTTTTCTCTGTGTTCATGTGTTTATTTTAAATCTCAGTGTTTAGTCAAAATACATTGCTAACTTTTAATACATCCTTTCAATATACATAAACTGTAAATTTTTCAAATATTTATCTAGTTTATCTGTACTTTGGACATTGTGATAATGCATAAGAAATGGCTTAAGTCATTAGTGGATTTTTTACATTCTAAGGTCAGTAAAACAAAACACAATATGAAGATGTGATTGCTAGAAACCAGATATTGAAAATGTCCTTCTCGTAATTGTCTGATTAGGTCAAAGACACATTTTACCAGTACGTGTAGTCAAATTATCATTTGCATTTTCATTGTAGCCCACTATATGCCAGCAGAACACGTGCCCCATGATTTCTTTTTAATACGCAATTTAACTTTGTCTCTAATCAGGCTTTCGTAGGATAGTCCCAGTTCTTTGTATTGCAAGCCAGAGTATACTGAACCTTCTTGATGTTATCATATATTATTAGAGTTGCTGTTTATAATTTCATTGTACTTTGCACTGTTTTGCAAACTATAGAGTGGGGAAGTCATGTTGCAAGGCGGCCCTTGACAGATATCAGCTAATTGTCTGAAGCAGGAATTTGTGTTTTGCAGCTGAAGGCATTGTCCTGTCCTGGTCTGCATGTGGAATATGCCAAGGGTCAGTTTTTCCCTCGTCTGGTCACTGTTACAGCTCCACCCACAGCGATGGGTATGGAGACCTAAGGCAACCAGCACGTTAAACACGTTGTGATGGACAGTCTGCAGGCATTAATGTCCCACCACATTTTGCTCACTCCGGCTATTCCTAATCTGCGGATGTTCGGCAGAGTGCCTCTGCTCCCAGTCCTGCTCTCAGCAGCGCCCAGACCATGGGGGACTGAATCAGGCTTTGCCACCCTCTGCTTGCAGCCAGCCTTCATTCCCGTAGGAGTGGGAGATGATTCATACCCATGTCTCATCCCATCATGCAGTCAGAGCATGACTAGAGGCACAGAATAATTTAGGTTGGAAGAGACCTCTGGAAGTCTTCAGTGAAGCTCCCTACTTAAAACAGGTCTGACCGGACCAGGCTGCTCAGGGCTTGGACCAGTCAAAGTACCTGAGTATCTGAGCGTCTCCAGTGATGGAGATACCACAGCCTCTCCGGGTGACCCCTGCTGAGGGTGCATGTTGTGGTCCCGGCACTGGGACCACCTCAGTTCCCCCAGTTTAGACACTGCCTGTGTTTCTCTCTCTCGTGCCTCCACGACAAAGCTCTTGATGGGGGAACGTTGTGTGAAAGGGCTTTTGTGCGACTGGAGTCTCGTGGCCTGAGCTTGCGCGGGGTTTTCAGTCTGAGTTTCGTGGTCCCGTGCCTCCTGATACCACCACACCCCTCCCGTAAGACAGCCTGCCCAGTTTGTGTTTCGGCTGCTTCCAAACATGCGCTGTGTTCAGCATCATTTAAGAGGCTTTCAAAAGGAAAGTGCTGTCTGCTAGTTTTGTTTTGCTGTGTTTGGGAAAGCGTGTTGTTTTCATGTTTTCTGGAGTGCAGCTTTAGTTGTGGGTTTGGCTGGTTTTATAGTTTCTCACATGGCTGGAAGGCCTTTAGCTCTTCATGGATGGGTCTGCCAGAGGGCTTGGGATGGCGGAGCTTGGTCGGCTGTTTTGCTTCCAAACAAGACTCAAGCGATGATTTTGGGAGCTGCGTGTGGGTTTATTGGAAACATGGATCCAGTAGGGTGGGGATTCCCAGTGGTCAGAGTCCGGGTGAAGGAGGTTTAATGCTGTCTGGTGACCTGAGGAATGCAGTATGTTGTGGATTTATTAGCTTGGGATGTAGGCATAGGTACGTTATGTTATAAGCTAAGGAATACAGAGTTGGCGTGTTGGCCTTTAAAAACGTGATCCTTTGGCCACGAGCATTGACCTTTCAAACTGCTCTATCAGTTCCCATCCTGAGTACAAGTTGCTTCCCCTCTGCAGAGGTTATTGCCTTAGAGCTCTGCCTGTGGAAGGAACTGTATTTGCCTCCTTAATCTGACTCGCACATTAGCCAGGTTAGTTTAAATACCCTGTGCAGGTGGTTAGAGTCAACCCAGCTGATTTAGCCCAAAGGAGATTAAAACACTTTAATCCACCACGTAAATTACGGTAACATTGTTCTCAACCAGCAGAACTAGAACTGGGATGGAGGGATGTCCACGGCCCTAGAAGTGAATTCAAACCATGCTGTCTTAGTGTAATATGTCAAATGGATATTAAATGATTTAAAATTTCACTTTGAAGTAATCCAAACTTTTAAACAGAAAACGTCCTCATTTCTTAGTTTCAAGTCAGCCTTTCGCCAGCAATTCAGAGGTGATTTATAACTTTGCTTTACTGTTGGGAATATGAAATGAAGAATTAATGAAGGAAGTTGAAAAGTTACAAAGGAAAATTTGAATGCTTACATGGGAAAACCGCTATGGCTGTGATGAAAACTCAATAAATAGTGCTGGTTAGTTCAGATTTATAAAGTACTGCCTGCTATGCAGGAGAGCAAACTTTAATTTAAATTAATAAACTATATTAATATCCAGTTTGTCCACACATGGGTGAATATGTTCAAGATAAAAGAATTAGATACACTTATTTCGGGTGTATATATAAGAAGAATGGCAAAAAGAGTAGCCAGAGTTCAATTTAGTGGAATTATAGGAATGAAAACACACATAAATCTGATTTGGGAAAGGCCATGATATTTCTTAAAATAGCAATATGATTTAGTGGAGATAAAGAGAAGTTATATGTAAATTAATCTGGATTATAGTCCTGTGAGACAGATTTAAAAGTTCCATAGAAAGCATGTAATTCCTAACTCACTTGGTTTGGGTATTTCCAGATGGTAGTTGCTTGTTGATTTTACAGATTGCTACTGAAGTTTAATGATTTACTATGCTGGAGACTTGTCATGGGGCTGCTTGTTTTGAATTCAAGGGTTTATTTTTGCCGACGTAGCCAAAAGCAGGAGGGAATTGTCTGAAGTCTCACACAGCTTTTTTTTAATGCCTCTTTGATGAGACTTGCAAGCCTGGGAGGCTCGGCTTGGCGGCGTGGCCTTACTTAACTTTTTACTGCTTTTTCACAGTTACAAAGGGCAGATGTTAAAAACTGACACTGAAAATATTCCTTGAATCTGCTAGCACTGAGGTCCCTTCCCCTCCCTAACACCCCTCTTATTTCTTGGCTCATCACTACAGCGTTAAAACTTGGCATAAATTTTTATAGAGACTTTTCACTCAAGCTCCTGAGTCATTTTAGTGAAGTCACGGCTGATGGAAAAACACTGACTTACATGGGTGTGTCTAGACATAAAACTTGCCATATACTTGAGGAAATAGATTGAGGTCTTTTGGATCTCTTCGTGAAAGATCTTCTACTGTTGTTTAATGTTTTTGCTATGGTTTGTGCTTGATCTATAAATGCATGACAGGATTTAAAAATGGGATGATGCTTCCAGTAGCAGTGCCAGACTGTGGATGCTTTCACTTCCCTTCTCCCAGCTTTTCCTTGGAAAATTTCTTAGATAGTCAGCACAGCGCTGTAAGCTGCACAGGGCAGAGGGCTGGAATCTGCATTGAGGAAGTCTGTGTGTGTGCACGTGTGAATTTCTGAGCAGATATAGAAGTGAGTTGAGTGCTGTGGAAATGCTTCTGGTGCAGGTTCTTCAGGGATGGTTTGTCCAAGGAGCGTGTGTAGCATGCTTGCTATAGTCACTGTGCAGCCATCTGTACCTGCATTGTCGCTTCTAGGCACCAAAATACATATGTAAGAAGAAATTATATTTTTAAAATGGCCACAGTTAAAATTAGAGTTTCTTTTTTTTTTCCCCTTATCACATTGTCAAGGTGAGGAGGAATTGCCATGTCAAGAGAGCACAGTTTGCCTGACACGGCTGGGTCTCCCATGGCAGTGATCAGTGTTTTCACCCCTGCACGGAGCAAATAAGTGTTCCCTACCCATTGTAAATGCTGCAGGAGAGAAAGGTATAAGTAATCTTTGTCAAATCATCCCTGTGGGCAGAGCAATCCTAGTTTCTCATGAAAAAGAAAATCGTACCAAAAGCATTTGAGATATCACTTTGTGGCTAGGAAGGATGTAGGGAGTAAGACTGTTTTCCTGCATGGGGAGAGTAAAAGAATGGCATGAGTTTAGAAATACTGTAGTAATAAGTGGTATTAAAAAAAGACAGATACATGTTTAACTGGGTGGAAAAACTAGAAAATGGAAGGTGTAAGTAGTTATACACAGATGTGTAAGATGAGGGTTTTATGGTGCCTTGCAGAGTCGTAATTACTTAATTTCCTGACATGACTGTGTACTGCTGTGTATGAGTCCTACGAAATATGTCTACATGTATTTTTTTTTTTGATCCCCTTGACTGGCAGAGATGCCCTGGAATCCAGATTACACCATGACTCTACTTTGTTGCTTGTTATGAAAACTGAAGGTGTTATTCCTGGGCACAGCATAACGGCTGAAGGGCTAACACACTTCACATATCCAAACTGACAGTCAGCGAAGCCGTGTAGTACTTATAATTCACAAATCACATTAACATTTGTAATTTGCAGTAAAACACAGGGAAGTACAATGCACATTCATTGGTTTACTTCACTGAGCAGGTGGTATTTCAAGTCAACATGCTCTGAATCTGGTTGTTTTGTGCATGCTAACTTTAGAAAAGGCAGATAGAGAGAAAAAGTAAAAAGTTGTCCCTGATGTGTTTCCTAAAGCAAGGTAGAAGTAAACTCTTCTGATACTTTTTGTACACAAAACTGTGGTCAGAATAAGTATCTGTTGAAGGCAGTAATATCAGGTCCTTATTCTTCTCTAGTTAATATGTTTAGAAATGTTAGAATAATAGTTGGTGTTAAAGCCATTTTTTGGTTTGGTTTATTTTGAAACAGCTATTAATAATTCCTTTTGTTTCATTTCATTGTAGGTATTGTCTTAGTGGCCATAAATCCTTATGAACAACTGCCTATCTATGGCGAAGATATCATCAATGCGTACAGTGGCCAAAATATGGGGGATATGGATCCACATATCTTTGCGGTGGCTGAAGAAGCGTATAAGCAGATGGCCAGGTTTGTAGACCACGAGTCTTGAATTCATTGTTTTTCTAAAAGGAATAAGACTTAAAATTTCTGGCTGATGGCCTTCTCTTTAATTTATAGCTCATGAAATATTTTGCAAGATCTGTCTTTTATCGACCGTTTTAGTACATTTCACAAGAGGATAAGTTGCTTAAGTTAGCGAACAGTAAAGCATTATGAATGCCATAGAGATCATGGCCACTGACAGGTAACAGGAATAACTACAGATCTTGTCAATATGTAGGTCTAAAATTAGCCTAGTGCTTTAGAAGATTATGTTGTTGTGATTTGATTAGCAAAATGTGGAGATACTTCTTAATCATCAGTGGATTTTTAAAGAGAAAAGTGCCAAATTCTTAACTGTTTTGTATTTATATATGATACTGACAACAGAAAAAAAATCACTTGGCTTATGAGTGCTATTATAGGCTCCTAGTCATGTCGGTCAAGTCCCAGCTACATAATCTGCCTGTGGCTGTTGTTGACTAGAATTAAGAGGGAGCAGAGGGACGATTGCATAGACCATGTGAAAACAGCGTCTCTAAGGACACTGTAACAGCTGCGCAGGTAATCCTCATTTCTTTAAGTATTGCATGAAAATGGACTTGTCACCCAAGGTGAGTGGTTATTAAAAACTTCTTCCCCTTCACCCCAAGAGCCTGCCAATTTGAGGAGCTTTTGAAATATTTTGTTTCTAGGATAAAGATCTTTTGGTCTACTGTGTGGTCTTTGGTTGACAAGATGGTCCCTGGTATCCTCATTGGTTAGCTGCGAGCTATTTAATCAGTTTTCTGTGTTGACAATACAGCCCATGATCAAATTAATCAAGTAAAACAGTGGCAGGGCTCTGGATAAATTGCGATGGCCCTCAAGCCGTACTGTGGGAGGGGGAGGCAAGGGGACAATGGGTTGAAAATGATGAAGTGTTCATCTTTGAAATTAGCTATCTGTTCATTTAAGAATCCATGTGAGAGCTAGAATGAATAAAATGCTCCATACGCTGTGAAGTTAGTCAGCTGCGTACGTGAATATGGTGATTCATGATTCCCATGTAATAGATAATTTCAAAAGAAAACGGTATGGTACAGTGCAACATTTCATGACTTAGGGTAATTGCAAAATAGCCAATGATTCAAAAATACTGTACATCTGCACTGCTGGATGGGAGAGGTATTCACCTCACTTTCTGCTAAGAAAATAGACATATAATCTATTATGGGAGTATAAAGGCAAAACTGTGTGTTACAACAGTCACATCTGTATTGTGGCTCTTTCAGTCTAGATCCCTGTTGTTTTAGATCTAGATCCCTGTTGTTTTCAACAGACTTGCTACTCAAGTCCCTCTAAAAGGTCTACAAAACAAGAATTTATTAGCGTTATTTTACATCTGAGGCACGGTACAGTGAGCTGCAATTATATGTCGGTGATGGATATAATCCAAATTCCCAGAATTTTTGTTCTTAATGTTAACCAGTGGAAGAAAGAGAGTGGAGGGGGATCTCTCTCCACTGGCTGCCTGTAACCACTGTCTGAAGCAGGCTTACCTCTTACCTGTGTTGAAATTTCAAATTGCTGGATCACCTGTATTCTGGGTGCTTGTTAGCTGAAGCCTGTGCAGTGGAGACTTCTATCTGCCACCATCTGCATTCTCTGCTGTCAGAGGAAGACTGAGGGGGCTGAGATTTTGGCTAGAGTTTCTGCTGTGGTTTTCCCTTTTTGTGTTAATTGCATGCTCTTCAGCTCTCACTATGCCCTCCAGCAATTGTGCTGTCCTGAATAACAACAAATAAGATGTGGTAGAAGTTCCTTCTTGAAACAAATGATGAGAAATTATAGAAGCCTGGAAATAATCTGAAATAATCCTTTTGCATTAATGAATTAATTCATTTGTTTGTCTACAACATGTTATAAAAATTTTGTTATTCTTTTACGAATAACTGACAGTACTTCCATAGGTGCAAAATGAAATCTGAACACACAATGAGAATGAAAAAAATTCCTCTAACCTGAATTAACAATTTCATTGTTTATTTAGTTTCCCAATGTTTATTTCCTTTTCTATCTTTTTTTTTTGGCTTGTTTGTTTTTAAGAACTTTTTCTGTGATTTGGACATACTGGGTTTGCTCATTGAATTTAGTTTTCTAATGCTGTTTCTAATTCCTTAATCAGTTGTCCTGCCCTTTAACTTCAGTGATACTTTCTACACTCTGAACAAATCACCTTTTACTCCTGGATTATGAAGTTAAAGAAAAAAATGTGCAGATTTATATTTCTGTAGCTGTTTATTTAAAAATGAAAATCAGATTGTCTGTGACTGTTTCTTTAACTCTTTAATAATTGCATTGAATATTCATATGGTAGCTACTCATATGGCATTAATCTATATTTATGCATGTAATTGGTGAGTTTTATTTTTCTGTTGTTTCTAATCTTTCCTAATTCCATGTTTAAATGATCACTGGAGTAATTAATCATGATTCTCGACATGCTTCTATCCATAAGGCTTCAGTGAGCTCCTCTAAATATTTACTCTTTAAGTCTTCTTGTTAATTTATAATTTAATGATTTAGAATTCATTCTTGCCAGCTTCATTACTTAATCTGCTGTGGCTGAGAAACTCCTTCCATGTGCGTGGTTGTAACTAAATGATCTCTGTGGTCTTCTTCAGCCAAAGAAAGTGCCCCATGACAGCAATCAGGAAAGCTAGTGATTGTACACTAAATATTTGCATTGCGTCTTCAGAAAAAATACAGTGCAAAAATGTTGGCTGCTGGAATGACAGGGATGGAGCTCACATCTGGCTTGCGCACGAAAAGTGATATTCAGCAACTGTTTGGGGTTAACTGCAGTATAAAGCAGGACATAAAGATACCTTCGCGTGTGACATTTTCTGCATAGAGAGCCAAATGGTGTGGTATGTATGGGCTGTGAAGTGGTGTGCCCATTTAGGCATCCATTATTTCCTCTTTAAACAGCAGTTCTGCCACCAGTTTCCAGTGGAGGGTTAGTGAAAAGGAATATGGCTCATTTTTATCCATAGCTGACAATAAATAAGTGATTACTGTTTGCTCAGTAGCTTCTTGTCTTTTTCAGCACAGGAAAATGTGGACAGCTCTTTTAAGACTAATCTCACTTTGGATTATTATTTCTTTTTTTTTTCTTTTCCCTGCCCCTCCTCCACTCTCCCCTTCTATTCCCTCCTCCTCATCTGTATCTTTGTGCCTTTACCTTTTCTCTCTCCATCTCTCCTACCACTCCTCTGCACAGACGGCTTCATCTCCAACACCTTTCCTCTGCTGTGCCCAAAATAAGCAATGAACTAGTTTTACAACTGCATTTAAATTGTGTTAGACTTAGGGTTATGTACGCCTCCAACTTGCCGACAACTTTATTGGTTCGGGTTGTATGATCCTCCAGACCGCAGGTGTAAGGAAGGGCTGCAGAGCAGATCTCTTCCTCTGTCCAAGGGGGCAGAGGTCCACCCGTGTCCCAGCTCCGACGGGGACCTGTCCGAGGGGCTCCCCCCCACCACAGGGCTTCGTGCAGAGCCGTTTGGGGGCTGCCGCGCTCCTGAAGGAAGAGCTGTAACAAGCTGTGCTTTTGGAAAGAGCTGGGACCTGCGCTCAGAGGTCTCTCTCTTCTCGTGGATAGGCAATGTATTGCTCATGGATAGCTTGCGTCATTTGGGCGAATGTATACAGGGTCGGGACAAGGTTTAAGGCAGACGAGCGATTTAAAAGGAGGTGAATTATTACTGAAGAACTTATTTTTGTCTCAGAAATATAAACCACAACGTCAGCGTGCGGGTGTTTGCATCTGTCGAACCCTTTGAACTGCAATTCATACCACTTTTGTAAGTCAGCATTTCCAAATTATTAACAAAAAAGAAGTTCAGTCTTCACAATTACCCTCTGTGGTAACTGTGAAAATTGAGGCAAAGCATCAGTTGGCAAGTATTTGGGTTTGGTTTTTTTGAGAGCATTACATCCTCAGTAGGAATCATAACGATCAGCAGGTGCAGCTCATTTTCTTTGTAATGTTCAGTAGAAGACTCCATTTTTAACTCTATGGTTTGCAATAAGAGGAGGTGTTGATGATTATACTCTTGAAACTGTTAAGAATTGCATTAATGTATGAGACTTATGATTATCAGTCTCTTAACACTATTGGGGAAAGAAGTTCTAAATCACTCCTGCCTAGTAAGGGTATACTGCAGTAATTAAGATAATGTATTTTTTAATCAGCACTTTGTTGGTCTGGTTTGTTCCAACCTACCTGTGGTTGATGACAGATACAGCAGAGTTCAGTGCTTTTCAATTTAATAGATTAACTTGGAGATTTCCTTCTGATTAATTAGTAAAGTCATCTAGCAAAGTGGAAGTTGAAAGTAACATTTGCAAACAGAATTACATACTGATGAGATCCATATAAAACTCCATGAATACCAGGATGGAAAGCAACAGTGTTTAAAGCCTCAGTCTCCAAAGTTTTGCTTTTCTGTTTGGACAAAGTATAATGATTTATTCAATGTCAGCGTGTATCCTATTCATTGAATTACCTTTAATGAGCAGGCTGCCTCTCTGTTTTGTCAGATTTTCGGCATGTGTCTGATGGCTCTCAGGTACAGGAAGATTTTCTTCTATCGCTTTTTGTTCAAAAGGAAGCTTGGTGAGCTGTTGAGTAGGTGTTTTGAAAGCACCTTGACTGACAGTCTCCCGTTATCCCAGGCATCCCAAGATGATGTCCTCTTATAAAAATGCATGTTTGATCAGCTGCTGCTTTGCTTCCAAGTGATAAATGGATATTCTGTTCTCCCCTGACAGAAGTCAGGAGGGGGGTGATTAACAACCCATCATGGATCTGCATCTGGTTATGAAACGAGAGCCTGCATGGTGGTACCGTACAAACATACAACAGCCGCCTTTGACTTACAGCTTTGACACATGACTTTGTAAATGAAATACTTATCTTGAAAAGAGATGGTACTTTT